TCAAAGCCACACCTTTATCCCGTCACAGCCAAACCTTCATCCCCTCACAGCCACACTTTCACCCTCTCACAGCCACACCTTCATCCCTTAAAATCCCTCTCTACATCCCCTTTCAGCCACACCTTGCTCGCCTCCAATACCTCCTCATTTTCAGTCCCTCCCGCCGCCCTTCTCTATTTGCTCCAACAAAATCCTGATGCACGTAAAAAGGCCTCTTATTTTTTGGCTATATACCGCCAGAGGAAGAGTTCTGACTTGATGTTTTTTTCAGTTCCTGCCGTCGAAAAGACTCAACTTCGACATTTCCCTCGAATAGTCCCAGATTTATGCCGCCCATAAAAAAGTTTCATCGATCTCGGTAAGCTGGAAATGGCGGTCGACCAGTCGTTCAGTGGCTGAAATCATTTCAGATTCTATATTTAAGAAACACAGTTGTCTATACCAGCCAAGGTTGCTTCTAATGAGGTTTTACCGTATTACCCTCGAGATGCTGCATACTAAAGTTGAGCATAAAATAATAAACTTATATTTAATTAACATTACCGTCTCAGAGTTATAATTTTTTCTGCTTTAGGAGGAAACATGAAACATTTCCGAAGATACCAATTTACCTTTTATTTATATTTTGTCCCGGTAGGTTATCGATACTTTTTTTCTGTATTGTAATCAATGAACAATTTCTCCTTACAATAGTTGTCAATACCCTGCGAACACTCTACAGGATTCTCCAATTTCAATGTTTTTCGAGAATTTTACAATTGATCGGCTGGCTACTCTGGCAGATCAAAGTCGCTGATCATTCGTTTTTCTCCTATTTTTATGGCGTTTTTTCCTGCGTTGTCAAGGACGATTTTCCGGAAACAGCAGAGCAAGGCGAGCTAACTTCATTTGAGGACTCGGTGAAAGTTTTGCGAGCGACAGGGCCTCTGAAAGTTCAGTTGCTTTCGTTCGTTCTTGTTTCCCTAGTCATCGACCGAGACCAGCACTCGCGCAGTTTCGTTGTGTATTCAAAAAAGTTTGAGCAGCGTTGGGGTTAGTTCGACAGGGCTTCCCTTCTTTAGAGTTGAATTCATTCGTTGCAGAATGATTTTTGAAGGTATGAATTGTTTCAACGGTAAATCAAACGAAAGCATCTCTACCGAGTGGTCTCATTAGGCTTCGAAAACAGAAAACGGTTAACGTTTATTTAACTGTTCGTCGAATAGACTAAAGGACGGATATTAATTAAAAGATCAGCTAATGTTATTTAGCCATATTACATCAATAAAAACTATTGCAATTAAAACATGTGGTATCTATTATTTATATTGAATGAAGTAAAAGTTTTTTTGAAGCTAGACAGCCGCTCGTCGGCTGCATCTTTTTACCGAAACAAATGTTTTCCGTCTTTGTTTGAGAAATGGATCAATTGAAAGTATCGTCTCCCTCTTTTTACCGCTGACATAGAACTTGTAAAATCACGGCATAAAATATTGGGATTTTGTAGGCGGCTAGCTATCGCTCATCGATCTCCTTTATGGTCGTGTTGGGGAAGCCTTGGACTTCAGAAAGAAAGGCCAAAGAAGGCGTGTCGAAAATTAGCTTCCTGGCAAGGCCCTTTCAGACGACGCTGGAACTTTCAGCATTGCCGATATTGCGGCCTGGTCAATAGCTACAGCCTCTGCCGTATGAAGATCCAATACTAGCTCCAAGAATTTCGTCCATACATTTTGAATCAAAGTGTATCAACAGAATAAAATTCCGGAACGTAAAAAGACACGATTTTATATGAATTCTGAATTGGTGGGTATAAAAAATCTACTTTTTTGACGGACTTATCTTAATAAATTTTCGGTGAATTTCCTCATAAGTTCTTTATTGTTTTTGACTCATTTGACAACAATTAAGTGTACAAATGCGGAAGCTCAGCTCCCGCATCTTGTCCGTTATGGTGTGAGTCAAGCCGGTGAATTGCAGTCGAGGATTAGATTTGCTGACCTCAGCGCGTCTCATCCCAAAAGCCATCGTCTGATGCTGCTGATGTGTTGGAATTTTTCATTCTAGAATTAAATTGTGGTGGAAACTGTCGTAATATTGAACAAAAAGCATAGCGTAAGAGATGTGTCATATTATTGAATTTTAATCAGTAATTTTAAAGATTCTCAAGAACCTGCCTTCAGTTTCTTGCCGTGCTTGGACTCAAATTCTCACGAAATATTTCTACTTCTTTCTCCACCGCATAATTGACAATTTCTTAAAGACTGGTTCTGGCCTCAGTTTGCCTAGCCTCGTAATCAAACTTTCCTGCTTGGACGGATTTTTCCGAGTCCTTGGGGCCATTTTGAGCGTTGGTCGAAATTAAGGATTCACGAGGTTCATGCAAGATAAACTCGAAACCTGAACTGCCGACCTTGCGGAAAACGAGACTCGTACTCCGCGAGTTTTCAACTAATAAGTAAGTTTTTGCCAGCATGACAGATTTTGAAATGATTGCTAACATTTTTTTACTTCTTCTTGAGAATAGCGAAAAAAATGAAGATAATTGAAATGAAAAAATGATATCCCTGAACTTTCTACTGTGGTAATAACTTATGAAAAAAATTTATGCAAGCTGCATTATTGGTTTTAGTTAGCACATAACACAGAAAATTTTCCCTACATAACTTTATTAAGTCTGTTGCTCATGAAATTCTTGCTGAAAATGAACCAAATTCTTGACAGCAAAATATCAAAGCTTCGCCTTTTTGGTGTAAACGTCCCTCCTGGACATCAGTAACTATACGTCAAGATTTTCTAGAACAAAATCCAAATATGAATGAAGTGTATGTTCAAAAACATTATATAGCCTAATTCGTTTCTGTGTAAGCATCAACGACTTTCCTAACTTCATCATAATATGCTTGGAAGCTGGTAATTCAGTACGAAATTTACGCTTAATTATTTGAAAGCAAGCCAAGCTTTCAATTCCAGCTGTCTGATCGGCTATTCGGCCCCATCGAAGTCAACCCCCATTAAAATCCCAGTGGTCTGTGGTACACAATACTTCAAAGTTGAACCACGTATCTTAACTAATTTATAGGTGGAGAGTTTGTATGGAAGGTCGTATGGGATTCAATATAGGGACACTGGATGCTGCTCGTTCCAGGGACATATGGAGACATCTCGTGCCTTATCTCGTTCGCTGTATTAATTGTTAATTCTCTTGCGGCGCGACTGCATCACTGGCAACAGAAACAATTTATTTTAGATCCTGAATTCACGACAGTTAGAATATATAACTATAACTCTAAAACCTATACAATGGTTCCATTGATATCTGTTGCATTTGAGTGTCTTAGAATGTATATCCTTCCATATGGAAGGATATACAGGAAGGACTTCCTCCTATCCTTCCATTTCTCCTTCCAAAAGTGATATTAAATTGCGAGAAAGTATTGCATTCGTGCGGCACTGTAACAAAGAACAGAATTCTGTTGAGAATCAGAATGCTTTTGAGAATTCTGTTAATAGTCCTTGACACGGCGACAGCACGGAAGACTATGGACAGAAAGCAACTAATACCTCAACCAGAAAACCCAGTTTTCGGTCGTAACTGAAGTACAAATATTTTGTTGAGTAAATTATTCCCCTCCTGTACATTGTATTCTTGCTAGAAGCATATCATTCTCTTAATACGATGATGGGTCTCCAACATAATAATTCAAAAATTTTAAGTTTGCTACCTTTGGTTCGAAATTTCTACCTTCCAATGCGTAGTTTGGATCAACACGTTTCAGGAACGCAACGAGTTGCTCCCTCATCACAATGTCCGTCTGCTTTAACGAAATCTTTCCTATCATCTGCGGGAATGATACGGCTAATTGTTCACTACATGTTTCCCTGGTCTTCGTTCGGAAACATAACTGGAAAACTCATGGAGTTATTGTTCTTTCGTAGAATGACCTGTTTCGTTCTACGCCCCAGAAATGACAGTGCTTATAATGATCTTTGCATCTGTCATGGGTATGGCAAACGACACCCAATCACGAAATCCAATTGAGGAAGCAGAAAATCAGGAATTCTGGAAAGAATAATTCCTGAAAAAGTATGGAAAAAGGGACACTTATACCGGGGACAATTATACGTTATTCTGTGTTTGGTTGAATGTGTCATTCGTGTGAAGTCTTACAATGGATCGGGGTTGGAATTCATTACAGACACGTCGAAGAGGCGCCAAATATTCATTTCTGTCTTCAAAATTCATCACTAGAATAGGTTTCTGTTCTGCGCAATATTGAGAATGTTTTGATGCGCATTCCAATTTCACTAAAAATCCGATAAGCCTATAGAGATCTAGCGTTTCTTGGTATGAAGAAGCCTTAATGCTGGCGAACACTTCAAGGATTTTGGCAATATCCTATAGGATTCCTGTTAGAAATTAGACTTACCAAAATATCGGAGAATTTCATGGTCAAGAGAACTGACGTAACATTTTTTGAACAGCGTTGAAAATCACAAATATGTGTACTTTAGAATGAGCTTACACAGTTTAACTATGTTTTGCTCTTCCTTCAGTATCGTAATAGATTTGTTTATTTTCTTTGCAGATCAAATTTGTGGTGCGATCCCTAGAAACTATTAGTACATCACATTTAGCTTAAAAAAAGAATATTTATGTTGTAGTCTAATTCGAACTAAAGCACAGTTTTGATTTTAGGAATTGATAATTTGTCATTGAAATTTTTGTTTGTGCGATTGTGATAACATGATTTGACATGATTTGGCTGGATACGACGCATTTGCAGATTCACTTGCACCTGAAGTGAAGTCCTTCCAAGAAACCTAACAACAACATCAGAAACCACTTCAGTGAGTTAAAATTAAAACAACCCTAATCTATCAACTATTGCTTTCTACGTCCCACACGCGGGAGTTCGTTGGACGAATAATCGGAAATTGCAAATAACCAATTTGACGAGGTTCTACTGAGAGCTCACTGAATGAATATGTGATTAGAATGTGATTGTGTAATGTAATGTGAAGTGTGATTAGAAATATCCCACAAGGATACTGGACAAGTGCTTCGAGATCGTGCTATCAGATCCAGCGATGTCCACCAACAGCAGTCCAGGGCCGAGGCGACACCGATCTTTCAAAGACAGGCTGCGAGAGATACCGTTCGCGTTCACCGGCCAGTGAGTATCTACAATCTTCATACCTAATTTATTTTGCTAACATCTATATATTATAATATTGTTAACTAGATTCAGTGAAAGATTTAAGCAAAGTCGTAAGGATGGCATTTATTAGATCGATATTATTTATTTCATTTTACTTCCCAAATGTAGTCTTAGTTTCAGAGGACATGCATATCATATTTCGATTAAGGACGAAATGTTGATCCGTAGCAAAAAATAGGGGCCAGTTTATTGCTCAGATTTCTGTACTCTGACGTCATGTACATTCTGAACTCTTTGTTCCTAATGAAACTTTAAATTTTACTTTTGGAAATCAAATTGGAAGTTATTATATAATAGTAATACAGTTATTATATTTATTATATTATATATAGTTATTATATTTATTACGTATAAAATGATCAGTTGAACATTTTAAAAGTGTTGACTTGTCTTTTGACCAACAAAATTGTTCAATAATTTATAAAATATCTGTCAACATTAGATCAGTCTTGCGTTTGATTGCTTCAATACGATTTTACGATAACTAAATTCCAAGTTGTCAATTCGAGAATCTTTTCACTGGTATCGGACACTTGAACTTCCCACCGATATCATTTCCTTGACAATAATAACGCATGATGCACTTCCGAGTTGCTATTTATTGCTTACAGATAATAATTATGTATTTTTGCCCTTATGCTATTCTCACTAATCTAGCTTTCAAGTTAGTGTTCGAGAAATTTTAAATATCGAAGTAAACTTTCCGTATTCGCCCTCCCGTTTGATGCCAATAATTACCGTCATGTTATTTAGTTGAAGTTTTAATAGTAGAATTCATCAGCAAAACTATTCGTGATCACCAAAATTAATTTATTTTATTCTATGTATTGTTCGTTTTTTTACTTATTACAAATATCCTGTATAATCTTGACATTTATCGCCTGCGTAATTACTTATAAACTCCCTGCAGGGTCACGATATAACTTCATCCAAACCTTCCAAATGCTTTCCTCTTGGCTTCTCTTCATCAGAGGGAAATCTTATTATTGTACTCAAAACTTATTTACGCGATTAATTTTTTCATGCTTTAATACGGGGGATTATATCTAAGGCTTTTATATGGGGTATACTTTTAAGAATTGCTTTCGCAAAGAATCTCGAGCTGAACGTCGGCCTCGAGCGTTCAGGATCTCATTAGCTCAATTAGTCGCTGCTCGAGCTCCGGGGGATTATGAATTTTCTGCTATATCCTCGCAGCTAAAATTAAAACGAAGCCGAGAAGTACAAGGCATTAAAAAGCCATATAACAAATGTAGATAATTACATTAGATAAGATATAGTTATGGCTTAAGGAATATAGTATGATATAGCTATGGCTAATGAAATGAGATAGAATATAGTGTGAGCTTACGATGCTAGCCAGGATATAGCTATCGCTCATACATGATATTGGACGTGATATCGCTAAATAGCTGTTTAAATTGGATCTGTTCGTGTTACAAATGTTCAACTACATGCAGATAAGCTTCAAAAGGTCGCAATAGCTCTTCGCATACTTGAAAATGTATCTATTGTACATTAGACCAACGCTTTCTGGCATTTTCAGACCTACGCAGGTTAAATAATGTACCTACTACACAAATAACATTATGTATCAAGAATCGAGCATCATTTTCATCGGTGCCTTGGCATATGTTTTGCATTGAATGGCAAATGTGCACTGATTTGATTCATTTCTTAATTATCTTTGGGAGGCGCACGAATGCGTCGCTCGCGATATTCTTAGGACATATTCATGCAGAGGGGGTTTAGAATCAACAATAAATCCAGCCGCTTCCTCCCCGTTTGAGACCAGGGGCCATACTTTCAAAACTCGCTAAGTGAACGTAAGTACTTACGCTCTATTTTCTTGTCTATGATTGGTGGATTTTGCTTAAAAGGCCGTCACTGATTGGCTGATGAACTTACGATCTCTTAACTTTTTTTGAAAGCATGACCCCTGTGATGAATGGGTTAGTTTTCATAATTGTCGAGGACACGCTGACGTCACAATTGTCAAGGACACGCTGACGTCACAATTGTCAAGGACACGCTGACGTCACAATTGTCAAGGACACGCTGACGTCACAATTGTCAAGGACACGCTGACGTCACAATACACAGTTTTATAGCCGCTCTTCATCATTCGCAAAATTCCGCTGAGATTAGACTGATATGAGACTTATATTGTTACTGAAAAAAATCAATTTCATGATTGGACTGAAGGGGCGTTATACGAATTATATATGAAATTTATGTTGCGTGTAATTGGTGCTGAGAGTTTTACCATAATGTCCCGACATCGTTTTGATATTAAAGTTATTTGCATTGATTATATACGTACATGTTCATTAGTTTCTGTACACATATTAGCCATAGCGGTGCAAGCAACGTGAAGAAAAGACAGCTACAGGGATCGGACATTCATTACCTTCATTTAGCTTCACTTCTCCTCTCATAGACCAAACCATCTTCCTTTCTTCCCAAGGCATCGAATCTCGATTATGTTATCTAACTCTAACCTTTTGCCCGTGCAAACTTATAAAAAATTTTTTGATCACTATAATGCAGGTTGCTTACATATCAATTTTTTGAAGCACCTGACCAATAAATATAGTTGCTTCCGTGCTTAAATTTTGTGAATATTAGTTATTTATGAAACAAATAACAGAAGGAACACTGAAGAAGTAAAATAAAATGTGTCGCTACGGTATTTTTATTTTTAATAACGATATTTATCAATAACATCGTTATTTCAAACCATGGGTGCGACCAGCTTCAAGCTAGAACAAACTTTACAAAAAAATATTTTGGGATTAATATTTACCTTTCGGCGGGGATAACGTTTTGTCAACGCTGAGAGGTGTGCTAGATTATTCACTTTATGGTGTTTTTTTCCTTAAAGATGCAACTGTTATGCATCGGGTTTAGAGATGCCTTGAAATGTAGTCGAAATTTACAAATTTCATAGCGGAATGATTATTGAGTAACAAAATATGTCTTTGGAATGACTTTCTTCAAGCCATCCAATAACGATACAAAGAAATGATTTGGATGTGAGCCAAACTATCCAGTTTGAATCAAAGGTGAGATGAAGTAAATAAGAATTAAAAAATCAACATTGCTTCAGTGTTGAGACCGAGCCACTTTTTTCCAACTATCAAGAAGCAAGAGCCAATTTTACAACTGTTCAATTCAGCTTGTTAAATTATTGCGACAAATCAATAAGTAATCAATGCAGTTTTCAACATCTGTTACCTGCTAGCAATATTCTGCAATTTAATCACCATACTCGGCTGTTGTTATATAATAATACTGTAGGAAACAGAAGCAGCGCGTAATCTGATGCATTGGTCTTGGCCATCAGACATAAGCAATTATTTAAAGTGTTCAAAATCATCTACTAATTTTAACAATTTCTTATATTCACTTTTCGCATGCAAATACTTCCAAAATATTTTACGACATTCGTATATTATTTAATGCTCTTCATTATATTCATTATATCTGCATTATATTCTTATATTCTCTTATATTCATTATATATTCATTATATCTGCGTAAATAGACCTGTATACTCGTGACTTTCAAACTCTTGGCAAAGGATCAACGCGGGATCAGCCTGCCAAGCTCGCAATCTTCCCCATGCACGAGGCAGATCCTACGCTTGCTTTCCTGCCGACATAACTTCGATATAAGTCATGTAATTCCTGTATATTATTATTTTTAAACTGTATAACTGTATATTTATTTTTAAACTGTAAACTGTATATTTATTTTTAAACTGTAAACTGTATATTATTAAGAACAAATAATATTTAGCTTTCTCTAGGTGAGTGCATTGCATCATTTTTGATTTTTTGATTATGTCATAGTTGCGTTTCTTTTTTTAATGAATGAAGGAATTTTTAATTCATTCTTTCAACTCGAAATATTATTGTAGCAGTTTAAACGAGTGCAAGGCTCATGAACTGTAAAATATAGAAAAGTTATTCGCTGATTTGCGAAATTATTTTAAATGAATGTTGATGAAACTTAAAATTAAAATTTAAATCAGGCTTTCCTGCGTGGTTACAACATTTTTGTTCTTCGTGCATGATTTTTTTGCCGAATACAAAGAATATTTAACACTAACGCATCTGTGACTAACATAAGAGGGAATGATTTATTCAGGCATCATGGGAATAAATAAATGACTAATTGCTACCAAATTGGTCTACATTAAAGTAATATAAGTATTTGATTAAATAAGAACGAACAGTCACGGAGAGAGAGAAAAGCGATCGAAGTCAAGGCTCTCATAGGCTTGAAGAACCAATTAATGGATGAAAGGTTCTATTTGTGGAGTTGGATATCGAATTAGGATTTGAATATCACTATTAATATGCATTTTCATGCAATAGGCATTCAGAGAGACATTTCAGGCAATAGGCATGCAGAGAGACATTTCATGCAATAGGCATTCAGAGAGACATTTCAGGCAATAGGCATGCAGAGAGACATTTCATGCAATAGGCATTCAGAGAGACATTTCATGCAATAGGCATTCAGAGAGACATTTCATGCAATAGGCATGCAGAGAGACATTTCATGCAATAGGCATGCATAGAGACATTTCATAGAGACATTTCATGCAATAGGCATGCAGAGAGACATTTCATGCAATAGGCATGCAGAGAGACATTTCATGCAATAGGCATGCAGAGAGACATAAATTTTTGTATAGAAGATTTTATATTTTTTTAGCATATAACAAATAACATCAATGCATTTTGATGTTGCTTAAAATATTCTCCATGCCTTTTAAGGAATATTTATCAGCGCTATTATTAACTTAATTCTTTCACCATGTCAAATCACAGCCTCAGAACGATAAATGCTCATATTTACAAGACTTAGGCGTAAATAAATTTGCGAGTTGTAATGAGATCGGGATTTTTGAAAAGCCGTTTTATCAGTTCAGGTCCTAGCTAAAT